TAAGAGATGGATCTTCTGTAGACAGCCAAATGGGACAGCAATCTCTACATCCAGTGGCTTCTCACAGCTGATCACAGCAATATCCTCATTGCTCTGTTTGCAGTGGACTAATTAACTGAGAATGGTGCAGCTGTATTATACAAAAACCTCCCCAACTTGCCAGAAAGGAACATTGAAACTAAGTTGAAAAAAAAAAAATTATTCCAAGGCTGAAGAGTAGGAAATTATCTGCATGGTCCTGTAAAAAGACTGCATCCACGTTGTGTCTCTTGCAAATTAAGCTGCAGGCATTAGTGTACAATAAGCACTAGCCAAGAATGAATAGGGAATGCTATGAAAACACATCCTTCATCTGGTCAAGATACTTGTCATGATACGAGCTGTAAACCTTATTATTAAAAGCACTTCTATGCCTTGTCAGCCTCCTAAACACTTATCAGGCACATCAGATTATAGTGTTTCCTCTTTGAATCCTTGACTATACTAATGAGGGACAACACAAAAACATATTTCTAAAAAATAAAAACAAAAATGCAAACACGTCAGAAATATCATTTCACGTGTTATTATGAAACACCAGATACAGACTTGTCCCTTGGAATCCTGGCCAAGTAATGACCACTGGGTAAGGAAATTAAAATATGTGAAGCAGAAAGCTGTGAAGAAGGTTCATACAACCACAGTCGATCAGGATCATATACAAGAACGTGGTAGGGCTAACATAAGAGAAAAAAAAAGTCAGTCTTCAGGAAACATCAATCTAACAGCTTCTACTAAAATGGTGCAGCTGAGGTATGTCTTTAAGACAGTTGAGAGGAAATGGGATGAGGTCTGTTTCTATATTTCTTGAAGAAAATGTAGGATATTTGGGATTCCACCTCACCATCCTCCAGAAAACCTTTTACAAATATACTAAGAGGAAAAACAAAACCTTGAGTCTGGATAAAGTGTAAAAATCATGCAAAACTGAAAGTAAAAGCAGTACATGTACTGCCAGCAGTTATAAAACATGTACAGCTTAGTGCAGTGGAGATGGAGAGTAGACTCCTTCCCTGAACAGCACCTCCCAAGGAGCCAGCCTGAGTGTGACATTAATTCTGAGCAATGTCAAAGACGTTTTTGTGCAAACAACTGACAAGCCTTTGCATTAATCCAAACTTGTTTGAACTGCAGTGGCAATAGGATTCTGCTAACAAGCCGAGTCAAAGGAAACGAACATAAAAAATAAAGGGATTCCAATGAATATCAGCAAATATCACCAGCATTGTCTGTGCACCAAAAGGGCTAAAGACCAGCAAACATCAGTGGAAGGGATTCAGTAGTAATTCTGAAAGACCTCTGCCTTGTGTACTTTGATTCCTAAATAATCTCGGACACAGTGAATGCAACCAGCCATGAAGGCAAAGAGACAAGCAAGTCTCTTCTCCAGACTTGGGAATTTTATACTCCCCTCTTAATTTGTGTCATGCAGTGCCATGTTTCATGCTTTTTAGAAATGAACAGGATACTACAAAGTCAAACACAACCTGTATGCAGTTCATATTTATAAATAACTTTCTTTGCTTCAGTCTTGATCCAGGTAAGGTTGCAGGTAGATAGAGAGAACCTTGACAAAAGTCTGGAGACTACAATTACAATTCTAGGGGCACCTTAGGGAATAGAATTTAAGTGAGCTTTAAATGCAATTTTAATTCCATACAATAAGAAAACCAAACAACCTTTTGAGCCCCTTGACAACCTGCTCCCATGCCACCAAAATAGGAATGAAATTGTGGTATAATAACAACCAAGAATCAGAATATGACCATGATATTTATACACAACTCGAACTGGTATTAGGCAAAATCAGAAGGAGGGATGCAAATTCTATGTATGATTTCACTAGCAGAGGTCCTTAACCCAGTACAGAAATTTTTATTTGTGGATTTATAAGATGTTATTGCAACTCATATTAAAAGCACAATCTCATATCTTACTAGACTCTCTCTCCTTCCCATTTCCCAAACAAAGCAATTTTTATCTGGGTTCCTCAGAAACATCAGAGATTACATTGTGAAGAAACTAATGACCTGGAAAAACCAAGTTCAATTCATTGTTATGAAAAGGTTCCAAATGGTAGGTGATGCTCCATCCTCCCTCCCCCTATCAAGAATTTGACATGAAAATTTTCCACTTATTTTCTATTATGTTCCTAGCTCAGAAGACCCTTATTTTATAATTTATAAATTATAGACTCTTATTTTATAATTGCAAACCAAAGAAATATAAAACCCATTATGAAGGAAACATTTACATTGTGAGTATCTCTGTGTAAAAAGAGGTATCATCAGATCTCCTTTCTGAAAATTAGTAAAGGAGAAAAATCTGTTTTCCCTAAAGTTTTCCTAAAATTCAGTGATAAAAAGGTTAAACAAAAGATTTATCTGAAGGGAAACATTTAAAAATATGTAAAAGCTTTGAAATAAAACATCATCCTTCATGAAGAAATCCATAATTGTCAGCAGTTCACACGGGCAGGATGTTGGTAGACAAAGCCTGTAAATCCTGGGGCTGGCCTGAAAATCAAGAACTCAGGTCAGTGGTACATCAATGTCACAGAAGACCAGTTAACTGAATCACTCAGAATAAATTTCTTAGCTTCCTAGCAGCATGTAGAACACGATGTTTCCAAAGATTACATTGACCTGGCAAGTAAATTTTTACAGAGAGTTATGGTAGTGATAACATAAAATAGCAAAGACCACAAGAGTGTTCTTCTTATTGGGTTTTATGTCTGCAACATGCATACGCACACACACCCACCAAAGTTTCTTAGAGAAGGGAAATTTAATTAAACAGCAGTTGTTTAATGGGGGTATGAAGGCTTATGGATATCAGAGAAGGTGGTTTGGTATGAGGGAAAAATTACAAGACTAGATTGCTGCAGAGCTCCAAGGCAAACAGAAGAAACACGATGAATGCTTGCTTCCTCCCAAGCATTCTGGGTACTAACTTAATGAGTTCACAGCCTTCAAAAGATTCAGCCTTCTCCCAAGTATTCAAGACAAAAATTTTATTTCCTATTGTTTCACTTTTCTGTGAGCTACAATAAAAATCTGGGGGTCTCTTTTCCATGTACCCATGGATCCCTCTATATTACCTGGACCCCACTGTACACCGAGAATAAAGTCTCGAATATTCATTTTGTTTAATATAAAACAAAATCAGTTTTAATGTACCAATGTCCCAGGATTCCAAAATATAACTAATTGGTAGACTTAAAGGAAACAAATCTCTAGAAACATGCATCTAGCAAGCAGGGTATTGCTAGATTTCTTCCTCTGAGAAGACGTGAATTTTAAGCACTAGAGGATCATATGACCCTGGGGAATAAGATCATAGCATCTACATTAGTACATTTCTGAATTATGAACAGTAATTCTATCATTTTGTACCATTTCACGAGCATTTTCTCAAAGATGATGACCTAATTATTCATTAGGTACTCAGAATATGTAAGGAGGCATGTGTACCTTGCCAATGTTTTGTCAGATACAGTCTGCTGAGGAATTGCCACATTTTATAGGCACAGCTTCTACAACATCAGTGTTTTCTGTTCTCTCATTACCACTCCAGAAGATCTGCTTTTACATTTGGGCTCACCTCAGCTACTCTGCTATTTTTCTTTCTTTATATTTTTACCTGACTACAGAAAAAATTTAGTGTTAATTTATTTATGAATACTATTTCTGAATCACACTCTAAGAAATGAGCTAGAAATGATGGGCTCTGAAGCTATAAGTAAATAGCTTAAAAAAATAAAACATTTTCAAAATATATAAATCTATATAAATTAGCGAATGTAGTATTTGTGGAGAAAAACAATTTAACTAATTTTTCCCAAAAATAAAATGCATTAACTTAATTGCTGAGAAAGAAATGTTCATAGGTATGGATTTTTTTCAAGTTGAAAAGGAAAGTAGTAGTAGCTTTATATGTACAATTCAAAATAAAGTAAAAAAAAATAAATTATTATTTAGCCTACATTTGTACCTCTGAAATACCATATTTGCCAGAATTAGTGGAAAATGTACCAGCATCATTTAGACAGGAAACTAACATAAAGCTGCTTCCTTAGCAGTTCCAAAATACAGAAACACCAGTTCATTCTAGGTATCTTTTGTCGCAAAAAAAAAATCATCTTTAGCACTTCCTGGATATTCTTCCTAATTTTCCATTATCCTTAAGTCTTTACATCTTATTTATTTTCACTGATATGTCTATTCAACACTATGGTTAAATGTATCTCTTCTTTTCCCCCAGAGTTTTTCAACTTTTATTTTGTTATTCTTTTTCAAGACACAGAATAGTTTTTCAGTAGAGGGACAAGTTACTGGAGGGGATCCACAGGATCAGTTCTGCAAGTAACGTCAGGAAACACTGCTTTGTAATTCCTTCACATACCAATCCAGTTCCATCTCACCACTATTTCAACTGGAAGCTTGCTGCTGAACTGCACATTGCCAGAGATTTCCTTTTATTTTCAGCCTAAAATTTATTCATGGTCAAGTGCATCCATTCATTATGTTAACACTGTACTTGGTCTATTCATAAACATAATTAAATATATTTCTGCTTCACTAAGGTCAGCTTGCCATGCTGTTTTAACCTTTTCTCACGTGGCATTTCCTCAGTCTCTGAACAGTAAACATTTTCTGCTCTTCCAGTAATCCAAATTGGACTGCACTAGAAGCTATAAAATGCTATTAAATATTATTTTTATTTAGAAACAATCTCTTGTCATCTTACATATTATATGTATCTATATATACAACCATCAAATCTATTAATTCATTTGTAAAATTATTTTGTAAATTATCTCTTTTCTTAATGAGAGCTGACTGGCAAGAGATTTCAAAACACTAAGAATTACTAACAATCTTATGACATGCATAAAAATTCATCCTTATACATTTTCTTGTAACCTACTATTTTTGGGTAAGCTGTTAGATTTTTTTTTAAAGTAGTCCAGACTGACAGGTTCTATAAATGGGATAACCTGAAGTATTTTACTTAAAAGCAATTACATTGAATGCCAAAATGCTAAGTGGCCATCCATAACACCCTAAACCCTGAATTATTTGCAGAAGAGAAACAGAAAAGGTAAGAAAATAGTGCCAGAGGGTAAATGTAAGCAATTTAGCCACTGAAGTAATCCTGCTGTTACCTACTGTCCACAAAGCTGAGCAGCACTGTGCCCTATGCAACTGTTGAACTACACAAGTGTTTTAAACTTCAGTGAAACTCCTGCTGCCTTCTCCTTCTTTTGTGGATTTTCGTTGTTGGTTTTTTTCAATCAAAGGCAATGTCCAGAAATCACCAGTACTAAAGGATCTGTTCATGGCATTGTTTACAAAAGCTCCTAAGAGACAGTGACTACTTTATTGTTGAATGTAACCTTTATTTTATTAATGATGAGAAGTAATCAATGGAATGCTAAAAAAACCCCAAACTTGTAAAGAAATCTAGTCTGAAATCTGAATCTGTTGTTTGAAGCAAGTTCAGTGGTCACGGTAACACCAGATGAAAGTGGACTCTTGCCCATTGTGAAACAGGCATGGCTCTTCTAAAAAGGTCACAAACTTTTCAAATATAGGCACCATGTTTCAAATTTTGCACATACAAAATATGTTCATGTCACTCAAATTACACAATGTGGCAGTGTTATAAGTCTGAACATTATTGTCAATTAATGGCGGAGAAAAGAGCCCAAAGCTCACGTAAAGACTAATGATGGGGACAACTCCTGAAAAGAGACAAGAAGTATAAAACAACAGTTTTCCTGTTGTATGTGGGTTTGTGTGTGCATGTGTGAGAGTGCATATAACAAAAATGTTTAAGAGTAAGTTCAGACAATAGCCCATCCACTTGTTCTCAGCTTCTTCTCCAGTTTCATTGCAAAGGCTTTGATTTTAACCGCATGATAAAATGCAAATTCGAATCCCATAGAAACCAATAGTTAGGGCGTTGTTGACTGGTTTGAACCAATCAAAAACTGAGTTTTTTTATAATAACTGCTGAATGTCTTCCTTTCAACCTATTTGTCAGCCTCTGGGTATGTAGGATACTTGACTGTCTCAATTTTCTCCTTAACTTTATAGGACGGGTACAGGCCTGTTCTTCCTAATTTCCTATTGATGCCTTTTGAATAACCATCCCAGTGGTTTCCAGCTACTCCAATTATATCTCCAGGTTCCATAGGAATTTCATCAGCAGTTCGTGGATGATGAGCATAAATAGCAATCTGGTTGTGAGCATTCTGTCCCCCAAAGTAGTAGATATCATCCAAAGAATGGAAATACGCCGAAGCATCTGGATGCAGCGTCTGCATAATTTCATAGGCAACTCGACAAACCTTAGAAATAAAAACAGAAATCATTAATATTGTGTGTGACTGAAATATACCACAGAAATCAACCACCAATGTATAGTAATATTTCCCAAGAATATCAGGGTCTGGAATGTCTGGGTTAAAAAAGACCACTGACCAACCAACAAAAATAGCCTCCAAAAATATCAAAAACCAAGCAAAACCAAAACAAAAAACCCACCAAAAACCCCCACAGATCCCTGTATATTTGCTACTAAAAAGCATGAAATTTTGCAGAATCTTAATTAGGCCTCTAGTGATCAGATTTTGTAAACAAATAAATAAATAAATAGATAAATAATAACTACAGTCTAGTCTTCAGTATAAAATGAAAACATCTATGTGAACACTAGCAACTCTGCTTTTTAAAATTAATGACCTGTAGCCAATCAAATGAAAAAGCAAGTAAGTTTTCTTTTTCTACTACTACTACTAAAAATTGTATTTTATTTCCATTTGAACCTTTAGAATTTACATTTTCAAATTTATCCTGCAATAATGAGGCCTTGTATTTACTTTTCTAAAGGAAGTTCAAATTTTCACAACCAAACAGTTCCAGAAGTCAAAGGCTTTAAAATGCTGTTTATATTAAAACAGTGATAGAATTGTGACTGCTGGCAACTTAGAAGAGAAATAAATGAATTCCATCATGAAAATAATTATGATGGTGAGAAGGAAGGAATTTTTACTGTCATTGTATCCCATTTTATGAAGGGAATTTTCTTCAGACTGAACGCATATTCCCACATCAGAATTACATTTCACAGAATTGCCAGAAACACAAAAAGCCTGCCACTGTATTAAAAAAAAGGGTTTTTTCAACACCTATCTAGAAAGCTCTTCTGTGTCAGGTTTCTGACTTAGCTACTGCAGGTTTTCTGACTTCTGACTTCCATTACTGTACCTTTCCCTAATTTCATGTAAGTTTGATAAAGGCTGATTAACAATACAACAGATTTCTTCAATATAAAGAAGCATTTGAGCTTTTTCATAATTTTCAGTCTATGTTAATATAGTAAAGCTTGATTTTACTTTTATTTTCTTCCTTTGAAGACACAGTGACTAGAACTTTGATCAGTCACACAAGACGTATTTGTACTTTCTTGGCTCCTTTGAGAGAGGCATTTGCTTTAAAAATGTAATAGATTTCCTTTTATCCCTCTGCATCTGAACTTGAAAATAACTTTTCAGAAGTACCTTTCAGAAGATCAGGCTGAAGTTAATTATTTCGAAGTACCTGTTACACACTATTATATAGAAACAAATTTGATTACCCATATACTTGCAAAAGGCTATTTATTTTATAGCTTCTGTGACTGTTCTCTGCATGTGTGTGTACACCAGGAAGTAGACACATGGAATACAAACTATAAAGATTTTAAAACATTTCCATAGAAATGCTTTTAGCAAGTGTGTCCTGCATATCTGACACAAAACATTCAACATTTCCTCTCTGCAATTGTTTTCTTTGTACCACCAAACCTGGTGACTAAACTGTAAAGTGTTGAGGACAGCAGGCAAAACATCCACGTGCAGAAATAAACCTAAAGCCAGCCTCCCATTTTTTATTCCCAGATCCCTTGTTCTGCAGCCTGTATACTTACCTGTACAAAGTAAAATACAAAGACTAATAAGTTCTGTAAGGAAATTAAGTTATGTCAGTCAGAGGGAGCTATGACTTCATCTAAATGAAGACTGAAGAGACAAAAGAAATATTTGTTCTCAAGTGTAATCTTAATTCTCCTACTGTGTTATGATTTTTGTAACTTCCATGTGGCTTTTCTACAAAAATAGAATAATTCAACCTATCAGTAATTTATTCTATCCAATAAATTAACCTATTCAGTTAATGTGACAATGCTGAAACATAGTGCCAAGGTAGGTTGCTTCCCTTGACTCTCCATTACATGATAGGATAATTCCTTAACAATTCCTTAGTATTTTTTAAAAATACCTATTCTTCAACTTCCACCAGTGTTCTTTTAGTTTCAGCACCATAAAATCTAATCAATATAGGGGAATTCCTGATTCTATTCACATACCGTCATTCTCTCTTAATACCTCTGTAATGAAGTTTAGTCTTTTTGGAAAAATGGAAAAATAAAAAGTCAGCATAGAATTGATTAATGAAAAAGTCCAAAACCACAATAGAAAGAAAAATACATTTTTAACCTTACATTCTCTCCATACCTATTGGACAAAAGGTGGTTATTAACTGCCTTATTTTGCTTACCTTCAATGCCAAAGTAACTATCAAATAGTTTATTTAATTGATGAAAGGACAGGGATAGCAATTCCAATGTTAGAGAAAAGAGAATCAAATTTTAAACCCCTTAAAAGGAAACTTTATGAATAGTGGGAAAACTTGCAACAGACCTTAGAAAAGCCCAGTATATGAAGATTCTGTACAGATCCACATTGTTGCATGCCCAGAAAAACTGGTATTAAATTATTTTTGAGGATTTTGAATTATTAAAGCACAATAAATTGCCCAGAATAAATTAAGTAAATTACTGGACCAAATTCATAGTCCAGCTATTGACAGTAGCACTCTAATATTGGATGCCCTATACTTCATTAGAATTTTCTGCAACTCTGGAAAACCAAATATGTTCTCCAATAAACAAGTCTACTGTCAAATGCATGGTGAAAGAGAATGAGAGTTGAGCACAAGGGTACCCTCAAAGGGGGTTGTATCAGATGCCCTCCAGAGGTCCTGATTAAACTGTATGACCTTAACTGACATATTTTAAACCCATATTCTTCTTGCAAAATTATTCCAATACTTAAAATTCAATTACAATATATTCTGGCCAAGCCATTTGCAACAATATTTAAACTATGTTTATATCCAGGGATTTATTTAAAGCAAACATTTATCACTTATAAGATGGCTATCTGAATATAGTAATAGCAGAAAATGTTACAGATTTTTTCATTAAGTTTTTATCCAAGACTACATAGTTTTCTTCAGACTGTGAACTGTCTCTACACCAATGCATGTGTGGCATTTCAGACATACAGCTGTAGGTTTCATTTCTTTCACTGCTCCTTTCACATCCACATTCAGTGGATGTTCTCCAGCTAAATCAAACATTATTATTAAAGTGGATGGCTCCTCACAGCTCTTCTTAGTGAGGATTTTTACTTTGGATTTTACTCAGGTCTTTGGTCTGAAACAGCCTGGATTAATAACCTTCTAAATATGCTATAAAATGTCATTCTCTCTACAGGATGTGGTGAATGGTAAATAAAGTGTATGCACAAGCATGATTGAGGGATAAGAGGCTTTTCTATACTTTTTGTAGTTTTGCTGTCTTCTTGCTACTGCAATTTTATTAAGAATTCTGCCAGTCAAGGTCAATATATCACTGTATTGACCATCTATTAATATTAATATTGTGCTTGTTACCTATTTGTCATTACAGTGCAGCAGAAAATTTACATTTGAGGCTGTGGAAAACATTTAGTTCTTAAGCGAATTTTAAATTTTGAGTTTTTGTGTCCACTTCTATCTAACACTACAATCATGTGTGATGGTGTCACCTAAGAGAATAACAACAACAGCAAGTAAAAAACATTCAATCTGATAGAAATCATATCTTGCCATATGTGAATTAGGTGGATCAGCATATTAGCCACAAAATACTGCTTGGTGATTTTTTGCTGTGCTTTTAATCTTGAAACAGATTTTTATAAACAGAAGCATGAAGAAAACTAAGATTTAAAACTGGTACATATAATCAAAATAGTCTCTGCATTGCACTTTACCTGGGATGAAAATGTACAGACCAGGAAGTCTGCCTGAGACAGAAAGTGAATATCCAGAATGACACCTCTTAGGGAATTTTCAGTGTATCGGTTATGGAGTCCTGCTGACCAGGATATGGAGTTATCACTGATAAATTCATAATTTGGATACCTGTGAAAATACAATGAATACACAGTTAATAGCATTGTTCTGTTTCTTCTTGAAAGAAGCATTACCTTTGCTGCAAGATAAGGTTGTTAATTCATTTTAAGGCAGTTTCTGCTTTACAGGAAATTAATTACGATTTTGCTGAACCTTCTAGAAGGTCACTGCTGCCTCCAAGCATGCCCTCTCTTCATCTAGAAAAAATAATTAAATAAAAATATCCTGTAAATCTGTCTGGTAGATAACAAAGTAGATGTGAAAGAAAGACCAAGAAGTATATATACCACATTCTACAAACGATGCTGATTTTAGATGAAGTATACTCAGACCACTAAGTTTTCTAAGTTTACTGCTAAATAGGATATGGGATTCTGACTTTAGTAGGCCACATTTATTACCATACTATTAGATACTGTGCAAAAAAACCCAGTCACCTGTAAAAGGGACATATTAAATAAATGCATGTAAACTAATGAAAAGAAGGAAAAAAAGTCTTTCACAGTTCTTAAGGTCATATGGAGAACCAAGTTTGCAATTCACTGGTCAAAAGGAAATAAATCTAAAATTCCATGCCAATACACTTTTCTTTACTTTATTACCAAAATAAAATTAGTACTACTGCAAATCAGAATATTTTTTTAAATATGAAACCTTCGTTTATATTATATTAAAATACAATACTTTACCATGTAACAATAACTTAAACTTTTTTTATACTTTTTTAAAATATTGAAAAAATAATGGTGTTTCTCAAAAAATTTACACTTCTGTGCTGGGGAACTGAAATCTGAAAGAAACTGTGGAAAGGAGCACAAATTAATTAAATTTTCCATCAGCCTCCTATCAAAGACAATTATTACAGATGTAACAAAGGTGGTAACTACTTTGCTGTTGCACAGCAATTATATTTCAATCATGAAATACAACTCACGTGACTAATCGGCCAACTACAAAATTTCAACTACACAGCTTATGATAAAACAAAACCATATACATAGAAGTTTGTTTTCAAATTTGTAACTTCATTGCAAATATTAATCAATACATTATATAAGAGAGCTAATGTAATATTCATAAGAACATGCCTAACTTATTCCATTTCAATGTTAAAAGTATGGAGAAACTGTATTCGAAAGTGAAATATAGAGCTGTGTTTTGTGGCTACCAAATCAGTAAATTTCTCTCAAGAGCAAATCAAAAAACTCTGTGCAAAATGTCCACTTTTGATGTGGAATGCATGGGACAGCTTTAAAGGGTGTATCTGATCATCAAAGTCAGGGAAATTCATTCCTACTACATTACAAACAATAAAAAATAAAGCTGAAGAAAACCAACAGAAAAAAAGGAAGAGAAGGTGGAAATAGTATTAAAACAACTGATAATACCCCTTCTGAGGAAGTACAGAGGCTTATATGAAGCTAAAAATAGCTTTTTCAGTAATAACTCTCTCACAATTTTATTTCTGATCTTTTCCTGCTTAACATTTTTGTCAATATTTAACCAGCTCCCAAAACACAATGGATGACACCACAATATTTGTAACATATTCTAATTTCCATTGTGTTAATCGTATCCGTGGTTTTTTTAAAGGAAGAAAAAAGTACAGACCAAGTGGAAATACATTATACTCTACTGTGAGAACTAGCTGAGAAACATAGATAAGCATCAGTCTTATCTCAGTAAACAACTGTGAGTGGAGCAACACAAAGAACATTTAACAGAAGATGGTATTTCTAGGGACAAAAACACAGTAAAGATATTTAAACACTCCTTTGCAAGTTCTTGGTATCAGGAATATCACTAAAATTAATCACTTCCTTCAGACTTAAAAAATCAGAATTCATATGCTGAGCAGACACAAAAGGACTTTTCCTAAAGAATCTGATTTCGTACTAGCAAAAGATCACTCTAATAACTTTAAGGAATGAAGCATGAGGAAAACAGTGTCATATTTGATCTGGTAAAAAACAAAAGGTCAGAATTGTTTACACATCTTTTTTATGCATACATTTTAAATGTTCTCCTTTCCTTTATTCTGGAAACAGTGATTGGGATGCTTTTAGATCTGGTCTTCAATTCCATTTATAATGCTGATCCAAATTCATCTAACCAACGGTTTCAGAGCCCACTCTTCAAAACAATCATCAAAGCTTGTAATTTATCCACTCACACGTTTAAGTTTTCAAACTTTTAAGCACTTTTATGTTGTCTCCCACACACAGTGCATGGGAGAAGGGGTTTCTTTTAAAATGTGAGTGAAGTAGCAGCCATGCTCAGTGTGACCAAAGAATCTTCTGGTCCACTATCCTGTCTCAAACACAGGCTGAAAGCAGAGAAAAAAGAAAAACACAGGAAAAGGCCAGGTGCACACTCCTCTCAAGCTGAATGTGGCCCACTGAATTCCTGCATCAGGTGAGGTTTAATTCTCCTTCCCACTCATTACAGTGCTTGAGATTCCATTTGAAGCTATACTTGCCACAATGACTGCAAAGAATAAAGGAAATTAAAATACCACAGCTTCATTTCACTATACCTACAATAGCTATGGTTAGCTGTTGCTTCCTTCCATTCCCTTTTCCATCTGTATTTATATTATGATTAGTGTAAGGCTTACATTTTAGGTTTTGGGGGAATTTTTTTTTTCTTTTTTAACTAGAACTTAGGCACAATCCTAATACTAGGATTCCTGAATGTGTAGAAAATGATTCACACATGATAAATTGTCATATTTTTATTGACAGAAAAACCAAAACACAAAGATGTGTAGCATGCCTTCTAGCCTTACTCATATAGTCTCCTCTCTGAAACAGGAAAGGCCCAGATTGTGAATCATGGAATCACTTAAGTTGGAAAAGACCTTTAAGACCAACCATAAACCCAGCACTGCCAAGTCCACCACTAAACCATGTCCTGAAAGTGCCACATCTACATGGCTTTTAAAGACCTCCAGGGACAGTGATATCACACTTCCTTGGGCAGCCTGCTCAAAGATAAAACCAAATAATGGAAACTGGCACAATTCTTTGTATTGGATTACACACATGTAGTGTATCTCTTCCACATATCTAAAAATAATACCCAAAGCTGTCTAATAGATTCTTGAAACCTAGGTACAGGCCAGGAAGGATTTTATTTTTATTCCCTCTTATGAGAAATCAAGAAGAAGGTGGGGAGAAGAGAGTTAAAAATCTTTCCTTCCTGCACCTAACAGCCTCAGATAAGGATACAAATCAAGCACAATTATGGGAGTGTTTCAAGTTTCTATTGTTTTCAGCAGCTGATCAACTCCATGTGTAACTACAGCTTATCACTGCAGGTGCAAAGCAAGGTGAGGTCCAGGCTCCTGCTCTCCATTGCTAGGCCTGTGGAAGTGTCCAGAACAGGCACTGAAAATTTTCTTTCCTCTGAAAGAAGATTGTGAGTATACCTGTAAACAGATTGAGTAAGAAATAATGTGTTTTCTCAGGTCTTGCTCTAAAAAAAATTGGAAAATACATGAGCTGTTCATCAGATTCTAGCACTGTGAAGCACTGATGAATTCTATATATCAAGCATACTATGACTTGGGGGATGGGGAGGGTTGGCCAAACTACAGATTGTAGAAAGGGAGAAAAGACATTAACCTGCTATTGTGGAAGTAAATAAACAATAAAAAAGGAGATAAAAGAAAATACAGATGACTTTACAGGTAAACATTCTAGAAGGAAGAATGTGATTTGTTCCATTTTTGTGCTCATGTACAAAAGAAAGGCACCTAAATAGGTTCATATACAAACCAGAAATACATTTAATATGGTCTCTTAAGAATTTATGTTTATATCATCTGTATTACTTTGAATACCTTAAGGAGTGAAGATACTGTAAGTAGTATTATAGACTGGAAACACATGTACTAGACATTCAAAAATTTGCATATCAAAACTATTAAATCAGCCAAAGAAAAAGCAATTTACACCATCCCTATCACTTATCCAAGATAAATACCACAACCTCTGCTTACCAGAAGTTGTCAAATGATTTAATCCCCTGATCATTACAGTTTTTGAACTCTCAACCCTGCTACTCTACTTAAAGTTGTTCCACATGATCCTAATTCTGAAAATAAATCACTTCTTTTCTTCTTTTGGAAAGAGAACACGAACACTCCACAGACTGGTGGTAGTGACTGCACTATCTTTACTACTGCACTTGCAGTTGGTAGACGTCTGACTGCAAGGGAAGTTTCTGAAACTTAAGTCAAAACATTTCTGTTTTCATGACTATGAATAGTTTAAAACACTTCCCTTGCTAGAAACAACATGCCTATTCATGTGAATGTTGGCTAAATTTTCTTTACTTAAATGCCAACACTGTTTGACAGCCATTCACTCTCTTGTAGAGAGATACAGTACCTAGTACTTACTAATATTATTGCACCAAATCATGAATGCAACATAAGCTACTGCAATGTGACAGCTGTTTCTATCAAAGCTTGGTAGTTCAATGTGACTAAAACATTTTTGTCAGAAGCGTAAACCAATTTATAGTTGATTTCACAAGAAGAGAAAGAAAAGCTTCTTTCCTGCCAAAACATGACCTTAACCTGCCTTCAGATGCTATTAAATGCCCAAACATCAAATTGCAATTCTGCCTTCTGTGAAATCACAGGAAGTTTCAAAGGCCTTCTACTCAAGTTTCTGAAGCTGCAAGCAACAGTAGGGTACAAGCAACGTAGGAAATTATGTTTCAGTGTAAGCTGTGACCTAAAAATGCAGCAGTAGCACACAAAAAATTCTTCAATATGTAGAGATTCTATGCCTTTTATGAAGAAAAAATAAAATTAATGCTGTATGGCTGAGCTGTATCTTACCATGTTAAAGTAAAATTGTGATTTGGAATGGACTTGAGCTGTAATTTTTCATAAATTTCAGTATTCTTTTACTGAATAAGTTAAAATTCTATAATTCGTTTTTGTTGCCATTAAAAACTTGGGGTGATATGTTTACACAGGTAGAGCATCTCATTATTATTCACAAAGAATACTAAGGTTTGAAAGTTAAACAAAAATAAAGAAAAATTAATAACTAAGATTGTTACATCAATATTTAATTCTGTTATGTTACAAACAGTTTTTAAAGTTATTTAGGACAATATAATGAATTAAATATTATAACCTCAGCTTTGTATTACCTGTCTTTTCATGGTTTAGATTTGCATTTTAAATGCTATAATTGTTTCTGCCTTTGTCCTTGCCTCTACACACACAAAAAAGGAAGGATTATGTTGCCATCATCTGGAGTTGAGTTTGTTCCTTTAGTTTTTACAAAACACCATAATTTTAAACAGCAGCCTTTCATAGATATGAAAGAAAAACAGAAACAACACAGTTGAAATAGACACGTTTTCAATGCTGTAGAAAATTATTCTACCACAAAATAACATTTTCTGCTTACCTTGCATATGGCAAAGAAAATCTCTTAAGTATTATGTTATCTTATGTATTTTTCCAAGAACATCACCAAGAATAGAACAGTTCAACAATTTGCCACTACTGAGTTGCTCTGATTTTAGAAAGTATTGATTAATTAATTAGAAGCATTAATTTACAAGGAAATACAGGCCACATAAGAGTAAATGAATGTGTACTCTGTATCCACGTTCCACAGAGCTAGAAGAGGATACAGAGAAAAAAAAAAGGGACAAAGACATTGCAAGAAGTTGAGACTCCCACTTACATTTAAGGACAAAATTATTCAACGTGTAGGATGAAAGTCTTCTATGTTATCACTATAGAAGTCCTTCTGAAAGAGGGAAGAGCTTCATCCTAAGCTTTTCAACCCACTTATAAAAATTCCTTTGGCAACTGTTCACAGAGAGGTAATTTTTGGACAGGTTTTATACACTTATTAATATATTAACCAGGTTTTACAATATTTCTAAGTAGTTTCTCCTTAATATGTATGTTCAGTAAGAATTTCTGTGTGTTTATTTATATGTATATTATTTTTATTTACCTCCCTTCTTCAGCATTGATTTGTTTTTACATAGTCACAAGCATCTTGCTCAACTCTTCCAGATTTGAAAAGCATGCTTGGGAGAAAAAAATAAAAAAAATCCCCAAAAAGCATATCTGAGAGAGAAATCAACAAAAATGAAATGCAGTCTTAACTGAGTAAAGGATTAAAAAAAAAAAATAAAATCACGCTAAAACTTGCGGCGCGCAACGGCCGGAAACTGTAAAGCTGAGCGGAAGGAAGGAACCGCAATACAAACACAATCCATCTTACTTGGATTTTGCCTCCTGCAGCAGCGAGGGGTCATCTGTGGCCAAGTACACCCTTTTTTTATCCACGTGCATCCTGCGGGCAAGCAGCTCGAAGCGCTCCTCCACGTGCACCATGTACTCCTCGATGGGGTGAAAGGCGGCCTCCGTGCCCACCTTGTCCGTCCTGCGGACGTGAACGCTGCGGGAAAGGGAGACACCAGGAACTGCACTCAGAAACACTGCACGGGCTTTAGCAAATGGAAATTTAATTCAACCCCCACCTAAAATAAGGAGGGATTAAGAAACTCGTCCGTGCCCATCGAGGCACATTGAGAGTATGAAGTTAGTCTGCTCAAAAAAGCAATATAGTAGTCTGACAAGGGAGGCAAAGGAATGAAGGACATGGAATTATATCATATAAGGTGGCATTCCTTTGGTGCACAAGGTTATCTACTGTAGATAGATAATGCTTGATCAATACAGGTCAAAAGGAAAATAGGAATAATTGCATCATATAATGCATAGATTGAATTAAGGTAGTTACAAACGTATTTTTTTGACCTCCTTGAAATGTAACAAGTCTTCAGATACAGCAGCAGTGAAGGGCAAAAGCCAACTAACATTTGGACAACCTACTGTGTACTCCTAGAAAAAGAAAGTTTAAGGACTGAAGGAAATTCTGGCAAAGGAAGAAGACTCTAGCACAGCAGCAGCAACATTTTTCATACCACATGGTGGAAAAACCTTTCTCTCACAAGTTCCTTTTTATTGCTTTTCTTCCTTCTCCCCTTATCTCCCCACACAGACCTATCCAATTCATCATTATTTGTTGAGAAACAACACTGGCAAAAACACCAGCAGGGAAGGGAAAGGCACATACCACGTTCATATGTAGCCAGTGATAAAATTAGTTGTGAATTGTGGCATGTAAATGTAGGCTTAGCCTTTTTTCCTCAAATTTAAAAGCTATAGGCACTGGAAAGAAGACATAGACAGTAAAGTGCCTGGAATACAAGCTCTAAGACAATTACATTAATGAAATTCTGTATTACCAGATGTGGAAGGACATGTTAAAAAACCTTCAGTTGAGCTGTCTGTTATATATCTGTCCAACTACAGGTAGATAAGTGTGCTGAAGTACTTGTAACCAACTTGTATTATGCACAGTTAAAAAATAAGAGCTTCATCTAGAAATCACCCTCACTCCCCACAAAATACTTTGAGACTCTGATTATCATCATTAAACAATTTTCCTGAACAGGAATCACTACATACACAAATTAAAGCACAGACATTTAAAAAGAAAACACAATACCCACCCGATCACTGGATGTTTGAAACCAAGTTTCCTTGTGGCTTCCTCGATTTCTTTTTCTAGCCAAGGCTGTGGACGAATCAAGTATTTCACAAACTGTGAGACCCACCACACTGCAGGATCCCCATGTACACGAATTAGTCTATCAGCCAAGTCTTCAGGGACAGCCAAGGGCAAATAGGGTGGCCGTGGGTGTAAGCTGTCAACAATGGGAAGTTCCACCACCTGAACATCCTTATCATTAGCCTCACCTGTTTTAAAATACATACTAAGATGAGTCAAGTGGTTTACTTTATTAATAAGCTTTACCATTGACAAATAATATTCCAAACATATCAACTCATATGTATCTTCAATTTCAAAGACTGCCTAACCCTTGCTCTACTTTTTCAGAAACAGCATTAATAAATCTAATAAAAATCATTTTTTTATTATAAAAATCAAAGATTTATATATGAGTTGTATTCAACAATGCACTCGATTAAAACAAAATTGAAGCTTTTTGAATTCTTAGCAGCTGGCAGTTAATAAAATATAAAATGTGTTCCTGTTTATATATTGATAACTTCTTACACACAACTATACCATTACTATGTGCAAAGGTTTATCTGGACAGAACGGCTACCTAAAATATCTAAAATTCAGTTACTTGTTTAAAAATTAAACAAAGAAATATTTTAAAGCATAAGAAATTGCTTAAAAAATAATACAGCTCTGCTGCTCTTTTGACCACATTCTATTGCAGTAAATTTCAGCATTTCACACATTATTATAACTACTGAATTAGCTACTCTGTTGTTAGAAGAGGAGGAAAACAATTCCTGTCTTCAAGAACTTAAACTATGAAGTGGCAAATTAAATAACCATAGAAACACAAGCACTATATAAGCATGTGATATATATACAAGTAAGAATTTGTTATGTTTTAAATATTAACTACAGTAAAATATGCAGATGGTTTAGATGGGATTTTAATTCAAGGCTTAATAGCCACTAAACATCTTTAAAGAGTTTTTACAAATTACACAAACACAACTGTCTGCATAAGTGATAATTCAAAGCTACGTTCATATACTGAAATAAATTATCATATATGACAACATAAAACAAAGCATTACATTTTCAAAGCACTGAACATTTCAGCTAATATTTCTAGTGTGCTCATTTCCTCCAAAATAATGTTTCCATTGTCTGCAGTATTTACTGGCAAAGATGGGTAGTTCTCCCTTTAGTGCTCACCAGCCAGGAAAAAAAACTGCTTTAAATATAAGCAAATCAAACTCCTATAACTGTTGATAACTAAGTAAATCTTAATGCTGAAAAAATCAATTCAGGGAAGGAATAATGAGTTTAAGAACAGCTAAAGATCCCAAAGGTAAGAACACTTTTGCAAGACTAGTCAAAATTCTGCAGTAACTCCCTGAGATATGGTTATTTAAATAAGGAATGTTTGTTATGCTCAGGTATATTTTCAATTCATTTTTACCAGATTTGGAAATCTATCTTCCAAGATGTATCTATATGTCAGTATTCCATCACTGCACTGTGTATCATCATTGTAAGGGATTATTTAGAAGAATTTCCCATACTACAGGTATGGATGATTCTTTTTAATTCAAGAAGCCAGTTCATATTTTTACCATCTATTATATCACACTCACAGGAAAAGATTTAATAAAAGTTCATAAATTCAGCAAAAATATTGAGCATTTAAATCTTCTTATAATATGACGGATAATACTTTATTAGTATGACTTCAGAGAGCTGCAATAAAGAAGAGCAGCAGGAAGCAAGGGAAGTGCTAAATCTGGTGCAGATGTGAAGTATCAGGCAAAAGTTTAGGTAAGAAATGTTTAGCTTGGGAAGGGTATGACAGAATGCCTGAGATTCCATCCTTTTTACCTTTTTCCCCTCAACTGAGAATGGGAGAAGAAACAGGATGGCAAATAAAACAATAGCAGTCTTTGCCAAGAGAAGAAAGAAAAGACTTCAATCTTAAATTAGAGAAGAAAATCTGCTGCAAACCTTTTGAGGGGAAAAAGCAGGTGGTGCAAAGCTGCATGTAAAAGGTGAATTTTTATTAAGTACAGCATCACTGACAAGCTTTTAAACTTTGTTCTGTGACAGAATAATTATGTTGGTCTGTAAAGACAGTCATTTGTATAATCTTGCTATTGATAAAGCTGATTGAGCCATCTGACTTCTATTTGACATTCCTACCCTGAAAAGCACTCAATACATTGTTCCATCTTATTTAAAGGATGCTTCTAGAAATTTCCATAGGCTGTCTTAAGGTTTTGAAGAAAATTAGATTGGCCAGAAATAACTAAGAAAACTCTCAGCATATATAGCAAACTATATTAAAGAATACAAAAATCACAGCATATCAAAGGTGATTGTGAAAAAAAATCAGATTTCAGCTTTCAAGTCTATGTGACGTGTTGTTTGAATACTGATGAAGTTGCAAGACTTAGTACAAGTCAAAACCAGAAACAAGCAAAATGTACTTCATTAAGGAAAAACAATTAGATTGTTCAAAATTAACTGCTAGGTCAAGTGTTATCTTTTTTTAAAATTACTAATCAAACCATAAATATGGTCGTGGCTATTTCAGTGATGTTGTAGCGTGTTAATTGCTTACATACAAATATCATCTGCATAATCAAACACATAGATATGTGTACAATTCCAGGAAATCTTATGGCAGCTCTCTAGATTGCATTACCTATATTATCACATCTGAATGAAGGAAAAGCTCCCTATTAGTCTTCAACCACTTTTAAGAGAATGAGATAGAAGATGCAGTGAAAGGAAAACTTACAGCAACTGTTTGCCTTTGCACTGGGAAAAACCAGTGTAAAGTAACTCTTTAGAAACCCTGAAGGAGCAAACAACTCTCTGCAACAGCCATGCAGGCAAGAGACAGCATTCTAACCCTACTGATCACTTTTTCTTTTTCAGTATTTGTGAAAACATTCTCGATAGGCAATGAGCTTGTCCTATTTTCAACGGGCATGGTTTAAAAAAACTGTCATCCTTTTTTGGATAGCAGGATATTGTTTTATTTTACTCAGAAATAAGCTGCAATTAAAATCAATGATACAGGAGATAACCAAAGCTCAGTCAGATCAATAGAGAAGCAGATACATTAGAGAATGATAAGTCACATTGCTGATTCATATAAATATTCAACTGAAGATAATGAAACCAAAAGTTAAAACACAGAATGAATTTTTAATCCACATTTCAGTTGTTAGCTGCATTTTCTCTAAATTGTAAAATAATTGAGTCTCTCCTACTTCACAGATGTGTTTTGTTAAGTAATAGATAAGTCATAAAAGGTAATAATCGATACTAATGTTTACATATTTTTCCCCTGTTGGTAGTTTAAATCACAGCATCATCACATCAATCAGGTCCAATACTCTGCTCAGTGGTGGTACAATTTTGACATTTGACCACGGAATCATAGAATTATTTAGGTTAGAAGATACCTCTTAGACTAGTTATACATAACTTACATGTCAGCAGTACTTCAAGTTACTACATCTAGTGTGATTTATTTTACAGTTGTCAAATTTGTCACTATAATTCTATTTATAGCTTAACTTTCATAAGATTCCAGGTGCTATTTTTCAGTTTGGAATAACCTAAATAATGGTCTTCCAGAGTTCTGCCACTTAATCCTGTTTTGGATTTTACTTCACTGAGTAACCAAAGATTGAGTGTTTTTGCAAGAGTCATAAAGTGCTGCAATATTGAAAACACTCTTACCATAATAACGTGCTCTGGAGGAAGGTCCTGGACTGAAATTGATTTTAATTCAGATGACCCATGCCAAGTGTACCATCTAGTTCTTGTTACCAGCTTTTGGATATATTCAACAGTAATACATCAATAACACAGTTTTAATTTCCAGAAGACCCACTGAATATTTTTTAGGTACTGAAATGAGCTCTGTGTGTTACAAAAAGTATAACTTTGCTTTGCTGCAGTGTCCCAATGTGCCTTAATCACTTTATAGCTCTCAGGACATATATAATTTTTGTGATTTGGCATAACCTTACTGTCTACCTGCCTTTCAAATTTACTCTCATTTAAAGCCCATTTAAAGACATTTGCTATTTGTATCTTCCTTATCAACTTCTTTTTCTTGGAAGCCTGAAAAATTTCGGTCTGATTCAAAGAGACCTTTGGAATTTTGTCCTTTTAGGTAAGCTTACTTCCTGCCATCTCAACATTGACTCATGCCTGCACTTGGATGGGCATTTTCATTGGGTGTTGATTAATTTCTTACCTGAAAGGAGACTGACATTTTACCATGCAATCACTACTATTAGTCAATGTTAACTGAAAACCTGTTTGATCATTCATTCTCCTATTATTTCAAAAATCACCCGCTAATTTCAATTTTTTTCAAGAAATCCTTAAAAGTATGCCAAAGAACACCATGCTAAGGGCATGTAACTGAGAATTTCAATTTAATTTCAATTTGTCTTGCTAGAAACACAACTGAATAAACTGATGTAAAAACAGAATAGCTTCCCTGCTTTTCTGTTTCTATGACATACTTAATTAAGCTGATATCAACTTGCAGAGACTTATCACAGATCTACTTAACCAGGCTCTACAGCACCAAAGACTGACTGCCAATGTGGAACCTTACCCAAGTGAACAAGTCTAAATTCAATGTCAGGAGATATGTCAGAGTGCTGGGAAAGCTGTTTGATTAGCACAGGACATGGTGAGGGGACTGTGCTGAATTCTCTCAAGAGAATCCTGTTACATGGTGCAAAGGACAGCAGGTTCAGGGTTCATCAGTGAGAGTTCACTGCTGTTATTTTCAGACACAGTAAAAAATGAAAACTATGCAAAGTTATGGTGTGCCTTTATGAACTGTCAACCAGTTCAGAAGAAAGTAAAAATATGCTTTTATCTGTTTTGTGATGCAGACTACACCTCCTACAACTATCTTCTGGGCATTTGCAAGCTAAAATAAAGTTACCTCATAAGAGCTTTATGTATAGTTGAATTATAAAATGAAATTGACATAGGTAAAAATAATATTTTTCCTTTAAAGTAGTCAATGTAAAATACAATTCATATATTGAAATGCTTTTTTTCTCTAAGCTTTTGCTTTGTACAATTTTAATACAGAATTTTTCAACTTGGTTTCTGAATTATTTCTCACTAATGTTCCACTTACTAATTTTTTAATCACCCTTTATGTAACCAAGCCTTTTAAGGCAGA